ACATAATATGATTTCAGTTCTGTTGCTTTTATATTAAAATAAATATGATGGACAAGACACTCAAAGTGCTTGCTATTTAATTCCATACGAACGGTGTATTTATCATCCATTTTTATTTTAATAAGATTTTTATAGAAATATGACAACAATCACATATCTCACACAGAGATCGCACTGTCATAGTGTTTGGGAACATTCATGCATAATTTAAATACATAATCACATGGAACCAGATAAAAATTTATTAACCAATCCTAGCTTGGAAACTGTTGTCGTCCACCATTTTGTCTAAGAGTTGTATAATAAAGGTCCTGCGTCTTTGGGTCCTTTTAAACAGTTTTATACAGAAGTAATTCAAAAGTATGGAAATAAAAATGTAGCTGGAGCATGTGTAAAAGTGGTAGGATATACAGAGAGGACTATAATGTTAAAAGAATATATTGGCGCTCATCATTGAACACAGCAGAATATCATCATCATGGATCTCTTTCTATAATACAATACAATACTCCCACCTTGTGGGCTATTTCGGAAGCTCGTTTCCGCCACTAAATAAATAAATAATTAATAAACAAATAAATAAATAGCGACTTTTTACCTCACAATTCTGACTTTTTTTCTCAGAATTGCGAGATATAGCTTAACACAATGCAACTCGCATAACGTAAGAATTGTGAGTCATAAAGTTTATTAAAAAGAGTCAGAATTGTAAGATAAAAAGCTGTAAATTACCTTTATTTTTTTATTCCATGGCGGAAACAAGCTGCCATAACGACACAAGTAAACCTGAATTAATACACAATGTAACGTAACCTAGGCCTACTAATAAATATCATCAATGCCAGTTAAACTTTTATTAAATTGTAATCTTTTTAAAATCTGGCTTCACCTTTTTTGACTGCATCTGAGTATGAAGCATTGCTCTTGTCCGTCATGCATTTATTTGTACTATTTTTCATGTTTTTGTTGTATAATTCCATTGTTCTTTATTATGTCTAAATATATAATAAATAAATTCAGACGAGCAGTTTGGGGTTTTCTGCCTTTATTGAACATTACACTGCATTTAGTCCGTTTTGCTTGTAGAAAACTATCTACCTTGTTACTTTAGGTGGCATGGTCCCCGCTCACATTTGGCGTAGTCGGCAGGATAATTATACAAGCAGAGGTGTGCTCTCTAATCTTTGGACACTTTGTGTGTTTGTTTGTATTAGGTGTTTTTTTTTTTGTTCGTTTTGTTTTTGGGGCTATCTGAATGTTTTTGTGTGAGTGTACTTATTTTACAGCAGCAAAACAGCAGCGGGCCGTGATTAAAGGAAGCTTTCTCGAGACTCGCAGTTTTTCAAGTTACCAGTGAGTAAAATATATATATAATTTTTTTTTTTACTGATGGCGAGTGAGTTGGAAGAGCTGCGTAGGCAGGTTCAGTCCCTGCAGTCAGAGAATGAGCAGTTACAGCGTCAAGCTAGTTCTGCAGCGGGGTCCTCTGTTAGTGCTAGCTCTGTTGCTGATACAAATGTTCACGCCTCTGCTGCGCTGGATGCCCCCAGGCCCATGGCAGAGCGTATTATTCTTGTCCCTAGAGAGCGACGATGTTCCATGTTTGGTGGAAGGGGAGCTCCCTCTGCTGGACATCATTAGTATTACGGCCTTCAAGAAGGTGCTGGGAAGTTGTTTTTATATTGAATATTCATTGGACATTCACTCTTCAACATTAAATGATATGCCATCGCAGAACAGTGTCAGTTTATGCTGTATTTCTTTCAGATCATGCATCTAAACCATATTTATAACGATTTCGGCGATGCTATCAAGGGCAAACAAAGTTGGGGAGTGTCTCAAAAGTGCAAAACGTACAAATATCTATGGCTTTATGCATTATTACATGAGTCTGTTTACTTCATAATCATCATATAGTGACCTGATTAAAGTTTTGAAGGCAAGACTTAGACAGAAAACAATGCATGCTTCCGTTTGGAGGGTCAGTGGCTGCTTTGCAAAAGATCAACGGACTGGCTATGATGTAAGACTAGAGTAACTGATACACTGTTGATTAAATTGCATTGATAAATGACGAGATGAAAGCAAGTGCTTAATTCAGAGCAGAATGACACTAGACCTTCTGACAGCTAAAGCAGGTGGAAATATCAAATGTTGAATCTTTCTTGCAGTTTCTGACGGTGACCGAGAGAGCTCAACGCGCTGCAAATAGAAAAAACACCTACAAATTAATAAAACGACTTCATCAATTTGACAACACACGCGCTGCAAATAGAAAAAAACACCTGCAAATTAAGAAAACAACTTCATCAATTTGACAACACACGCCGCTGCAAATGCTCACAACACAACCAAAGAAACGCGCTTCTTTATTTGTTTGCGTTGTGAGCATTTGCAGCACCTGCTGTCAAACTGATGAAGATGCTTTCTTGATTTGCTGGTGCTTTTTCTATTTGCATGTGTTTTCTGTAGTTGCAGCGCGTTGAGCTCTCTCGGCCACTGTAGTTTCTCGATTCCAGACAACAATATCTCAGACTTGAGAGACATTATTGTGGACCCACCCAGAGGCATATGGTTGAGATGAGACAATGGTTTTCTAATTGGGCCATGTATTTCAATATGCTACCTGTTGTTCTGCTAATCATCTATTTAGGTCCATGTGTATTGCAGTATTTGCAAGGAATAATTCAGACAAGCTTTGCCATTCTTTATAGATCACAGTATTAGATTATGAATTGAAGATTTTGTATTGACATTATTTGAAACGCACTGTGCCTTAATCATTAACAGCCTTAATGATTTCCATTAAAAGTGAAGCATTAATCATAAATTATTTAAAGTGACCATTGTTAATATTTCTTGGGCTTCACTTGTTTTGACTATTCTTGTGTAAGACTGTGCTTGGGTAATTTCCTGCTGTTATGTGCACATCTTGGACGCACCTATACAGAACAAGAATTAGACCTTGGACACAAACGTGAAAGAAAATGGTAAATAAGCTTACACGCACTAGAACGCACATACTTAAAACCCTCTACCGCACGCATGTAACGAATCAGCTCATGGGAAATATGAATAATTAATCATAACTAGTTATAATTAATTATGAATATTTTAGATCCGCTGTAGATATTTAGCTGACCTCTCAGGGTCAACTGTCTGTCAATTCTAAGAACGTTAATTTCCTGGTTAAGGGAAATAACTTTCTTACTGTACAATTCTACACAGAGC